TGTTAGGAATATATCAAGCCTTGTTGGCTTTTAAAAGTTGTGAGGTCATCAAAGTTGATCTGGCCTTCTTTCATCTAACAAACAGTAAGTTTAAGTCGACTGTTTTCTGTACTTAGTCATTGCAGATGAAGTTAATCAAATTATTCTGCAGCAATGTATACAATACAACCAGGTACTACCTAAATATCAGTTATAAAACAAAAGCTATTTTTGTAGAAATGTCCAGAAATAAGTTATTTCCCAGACTGAAATTTAAATTAGCTTATTACATCTCCCTTATTATTTTCATGTGGGTCTGAAGAGCTATAGACAGTATAAACAAAATGAGTTTATGAGATATGTAATATTTACATACGGCATTTTGGTTAAAATTAAAATGAGATTTCATGAAGGAAATAAATTATTTCCATGCATGGAACCCAACTTCTAACTTCTAATTACTTAACCTCTCCAATCTCAGAATTTTCTGGCCTAACTCTGAAAATAATTTGATCCCCAATTAAATTTTTAATAATACATTATGCAGTAGAAAAAATTCAACACATGAATTGCAAATGTCAAAAAAATGAAAAATCAAATAATTGTTTTAAAAATATAAATAAGAATAGACTATAAATACCTTTTATCACATTAGCAAAGATTTTTTTTTCTTCAAATTAGTATACCTAGGATGCAAAAAAAAAATAACCTTTTGGGAGAGCATATTTATTTGCCATAACGCTTGAAAGGGAAGAATAGGCACTTCCAAACATTATTGGTGGCAATGAGAATTAGTGTTAGCTCTCCAGGGAGCAATTTAGCAATACATCCATGCACACTTTTGATCCAAGATTTCCACTTAAGGTACAACCTAAAGAAATAATTAAGCAAATGCACAAAAATAAATGTTGAAGATATTCATTGCAGTATTGTTTATAGCTGCCAAAAAAATGGAAACTATATGAAAGTCTAATGGAAGACTGCAAAAATAAAGGCTACATTCTTAGAAATTAAAATTTACAACTATGAAAAAGAATGAGATAATGGAAAAGTATCCAAGATACATGATACAGTATACAAGGATAGTTAAGAAATAACATATACAGTAAAATAAAAAGACAATCGCCAAAAATCTAACAGTTATTACTTGTGGGTAGCATGATTTTAAATGAGTTTTATATTCATATCATGAATTTCACTTTGTTTTGAATTTTTCAATGTGTATATGTTATTTTCATAATAATAAACAGCTTAAAAAAGAATGGGAAGGGGGAAAAAATTGGACGTTTACAACCTATAATCCACTTCCTGGAATTTTAGTCTATGACCAACATATGCACAATAATGTGTGAACTGGAAAAATCATCATGGCAACATTCATAATATTTAAAATTAATAAACATAAACATGATATTTAAATAAATATAATGAAATTGGACATTACCAATGTAAAAACATATTAACTTAGAAATATTTCACAGTATATTGGTAGGTGAAACAAAGGTAATTCGACAATGTTTTCGCACATACTGCATTTTGCATATATATGTATGCATAACATATATGTAGATAGAAAAGCTCACAAGGATCAATGCCAAAATGCATACTTCAGTAACTAGTGATTCTTATTGTCCTTTTTTATCAGACATTTCTATTACAAACAAGTACTATTTACATATTTTTTCTTTTAAATTTTAAAAATATTCCCTGTAGATTTTTCAAATTTTAAAATACTGTGAAAATAGTTTAAATGACATTAATCCGTGAAAGACAACAGGCTGAGAATCGCAATCCTTTTATAGTGCTACATTTACCATCAAGAGAGCCCCCCCAAACCCTCTACAGCTTATGCTAAAAAGACCTGAAGGCAACACTTAGTATCAGACAAGCTCTGGAAACCCATTCTGATGCTGCTTCCTGAAATGTGCAGTTATAAAATATATTAGCTCAGATCACAGGTTAACCATGACAAGTCTGTCTGCTACAACCTAAGAAAGGCATTTACATGGAATGAGCAATTTGTACATTTCGTTTCTCAGGGTGGAATGAATTACAGAAGCAAAGAGCTGAGAAAGGTTAAGTTCTTTCCTATCATTCTGCTACATGCTCCTGAGTTATGACTTAGAAGCATTTCTCACATGATTTACTTCTCCTTATAATAAACCAAAATAAACTCACTTTTTTAATGTGAACAAGAAGAGAAGTGAGAAAGAGCGGATTGTAAGAGACTCAAACTTTTTTTCATATTTTCAGGTGAACTGGGGAATGCCTGACTTCCCTCCCCACCCCCGTCCCTCCCTCAGAAGAACATTATTGCTGATAACAATAGTTTTTCTCTCCTGGGTAGTTGTAGATGACACATTTTTCCTGTAGCTTGTCTTCCTGTAATGTGCAGGAATTCCTGCACTTTCTGGGTGCCCTTCCTGTTAATTTACATTTCAGATTTCCTCAAAAGGCATACTACTGCTTTAATATTTGAAAAATGTCAGCTCAACCCCAGACAGCTAATATAAACAAGCCAAAAAGCATACCATCTGAAGTTACAACTGGGGAAAATGAAATTTCTTTTTAAGAATTCTTTCTCGGAATCTCACTGTTGGGAAGGCTGGAAAGAAGTAACCCAGTCCTCGCAGCTCCTAAGCAGTCTGTAATTCCTTGCTTCTGATGTGCCTTAAATTAGAGGTCTGTAAAACCGAATTATAGTGATCGAAAAAAGTCCGTAAAGGTCCTTGAATTGAACATGTTGTTAAACTCCTCAATACTATGAGATTGTGTCCACTTTTCACTTTTCCTCCCATTTCACTTGGCTAAAATATTAAAAAGAAGTCTGCTACTGCAAACAGTGTTTTAGCCATTTGAGGAGAGTATAACTGAATTAGGCCAATTCTACATTTAAAGTCCAGGCCAAAGTTCCTTTGCCATTTCTAAAATGATCACCCTCTTCCTTCTACCAATAATTTTCTTTTGGGACAAGCAGCACATGTTCATACCAGATGCACGTTGCAAACAGGATCCAGTTAGGGAAAAGTCATCTGAGTACATGGAAATTGACTTGAAAGACCACCAGTACCTTATTCATTATAGGCACAACCACATTGGCAGACTGCCACACAGCTATCTCCACCAGCTTCCAAATTCAAAAGCTTACTCTTTTAAGAGAGTGAGACCAAAGTATGCAAAAAGGACCATAATTTAGTTTAGTCCCTAAGGTCCAAAGGGAAGATCACAGGACACGCTACTTTCATCAAACTCCCTATCCCCGAAACAGATGGGTAACTATCATCTATAAAGTTTAATAGCACCATTTTTCTTCAATATCTGCCCTATCACCCTGTATTATAATGATTGCCTCATATGCTTGCTTTTATTAACCAGGTGGTTGAGTTCCCTGAAGGAAAAGACCTCATATTAAATATTCTTGTGTGCCCCAAATCCTATGCACATATGCACAGCACATACAAATGTATATGTAAATACACATACACATATGGCTAAAAGCATGCACATCCCAATATATATTTACATATATATTATATATTAACTAAATTTGTCAGTGAATGTTCACTGAATGCCATCTCATTAATACATCGATGTATATACACTGTCTCATTGCAATTATTATTTCTCTGCTTGGTTAGAAAGGTTTAGGCTTTCACCATGAGCAATATCTCCCCCTTAAAATGCCAATTCTTAGGTTCTTCAGCACTCTTAGTTTTTTAGATTTTCATTCTGCTCTAAAGACTAGCAGAGTTCTACTTCGAAGCGTAATTTCCTTCTTGATCTCAGCTACATGGCTTTCATCAGGTACAATTAAAATAAGGTGCAACAACTCAAAAAAAAGTGACAAAATGCTGTAATTCCACCAGATCCTACTTATCTAGTTCCCCAGGTAGCCTAACCTGTTGGTCTCTAACTCACCTCTTCTTTATTCCTACATTCTCAGCTGGCATATGCTTTCTCTATGGTAAAGAAGAAATAGTTCTGAAATGAGTGACAAAGGGTCTCTCAGGTATGTGACAACACCCCTCAGCTCTCAGATGCTGGGTCAGAATTCTTAAATTTCCCTCCCCAGGGTGATACTAAGGCTACAAAATACAACTGTATGTACAAATAAATAAATATAATAATAATAATGTTTTAAAAACATAAAGAAACCAAACACAACCCTGAACTTCTGACCTATTATAGCTGACTAGATGCAATTACACACAAAGATTTCATTAAGGTTGTCAGTGACTTTCCTGACTGTGCAGTCACCTCGTCTTGCTGTAATGCTTAAAAGTACAGTACCCCCCCCCTCAAGATTCCCTCCTGGAAATCCAAAGTATCTCTCAAATGGGCGAACACGTGTAGGTCTTCACTATTGCTTCTAAATACTGTGAGCCAATAAGCAATTGGTGTAAAGTGCAAAATCTCGGAAGAGCAAGACTTGTCTGCTCTTTTTGTGTAATATGCTGTTATCCACACTTCATTTTTACTTCCTTTAAAAAATCAAAAGTTGTCTAATGTTTAAAGCAAAATCAATGGAAATTTAGCTGAATACAGGCAGCGCAACGGTTCGTTCTCAAAAGAATATAAGATATCATTAATTTCCTAGTAGCTTAACTCGTTTTACCTTTCATCTTCACCTATAGACTTTTTTTAAAGTTTGTGTTCCTGTTGCACACAAAATTACTTATAATATGTATGCAGACTACACAATTTCACAATTATATAAAGCATTGCACATTTAGGCGCTACCAACCTGGTCTCTCTCTCCTGACTGTGCAAAAGGCAAAAAGAGCTCAGTAATCCTAGCAGAAGAATGCAAATAACGTCAATGCACAGCTGAACTGCAAGCCCTGCCTTACAGGAACTCTCTGTGTCTGCAAAAAAAGACACATACTAAACAGGAAATGCAACTGAGCTGTGGAAAACCTCAAACTTAAAAATGCAATCGCCAGGCGAAAATTGCATCCATGCATTCATAAATGCATGCACAACACTTTGCATTTTTGCAAGTAATGCAAACAGGCTCTTACCTTTCGACTGAGACATTTTCCCCTTTCCTCTGGTGGGGGAGGGGAGCACAAAAGACTTTGCCTTGCTTCTCTTCTGTAGCTAGTTTTGCAACAAAGATGCAAGCTGCAGGCGTGCAATCTTCATGCAAGTGGAGTTTCTCTTGACCGATGCAGCAGATGGACTTTCAGGGAATCAAGGTGGAAATGCACACCTTGCAAAACAAACTGGAAAGTGATTTTTCCCCCAGTTGCAACGTTAGGGAAGGCTGTGCTGCAGCTACATGATGGGCCAGGGCTGGCAGCTAAAAGCTCCAAACTTGGAACTGAGTATCTTAGTGCGCAGACGTCCTTCCTGCGAATGGCGCAGTGGTCTCTGGGTAATGTAGTTCCCATGTGAAGTCCAAGGGGTTTTGATTTTCGGAAACGTGTTCTTCCAGCTCACTCAGCAAGAGCCTGAGCGCAACAAAAAATTTCTCCCAGATAAACAAATCAAATACACACTCAGTAGTAAGTGATGGGCAAAATGTACCAAAGCCAACGAGTAGGGTATTATTCGTTGTCGAAAAGCTCCAGGAACAACAGCTAAAATACTTTGAGGTAGCCAAAGGGCTTTGGGCTCCTTTGGGAAAGTGTTTGCAACCCGTATTTTGCAGCTCAGCACCTGTTGTCAGTTATTGGCTGTAGACGTTTCACACTTACATCTCCATTGAAAATATATATATTTTTTTCTCTCCCTTGGAGAATTTTTGGTGATTTGACTCTGCAGAGTACATGCAAGTGTTATTCTCAGTAAGTTTTTCAAGGAACCTGAAATTTAATACTGGCTAGACCTGGGGTGGGCAAATGAGGGAGGCACGTGTCTCAATCCCTACAGGATTCCAGTGATGATTCTGCTTTTTATATGTTAAAGCCAATTTTATCAAAGTTAAGACTTTTAGATGCTCTTTCTTGCCTGAGAGATTTAGAAATTGACAGGAAAGTCCCTGGAGGAGATCAGGGGAGGTACTCTTAAGGGAACAAAGTCAAATATTTTGCATATATTTGATAAAATCAACAAATACTCTGAGTTCTCAAGATATGTCAGGCATTTTTCAGTTGCCTTAGGTTATTCTATACTGTGCAGAGCTGTGTGGTGAGCAGCATCCTGGTAGGAAAAAACTACTTTTTTCACCGGGAAGCCTGAGATGAACAGAATTCCCTGCAAGGAGTAAACGTCACCTGGGTGAAAATAAGCTCAGACTTATACTTCACTAGATAGATGACACTATCTAGTCCTTTCAGTGCAAAGAGGGAGGAATGGAGGGTTTTAGGTGCTGAGTTGTTGAGCTGTAAGCAAAGGTCAGTAGCAGGAATGGGGACCACCGGTTCAGGGGACATTGAGAATGTCATGTTGCTTTGTATGCAAGAGCCATGGAGGTGAGCAGAACTTACAGGCTAGGTTCTGCACGGCCTTAAAAGGCAGGCCAGAGGTTTGGACTTTATTCTGAAGTTGCTCCAGGAGGTGATTGCAAGGTTTTGTGAAGGGCATAGTCTAACCTGAAGCATTGTTTTAAGAAAACAAATTTACCCTTGGTGATCCCAGTGGTTTGGAACTGGGGAAGGCCAGGGATAGGTCAAGTCAGTCATGAAACACAAAAAAAGACACTTGGAAAGTAGACTCAACTGGATCTCATGGGTGCTAGATGAAAACTTGAAATTGGATTAAAAATTCTAGGAAGCCAGAACCATCTGAGTAATGGATGAATCAGAGACAAGAAGGCCACCATGTGTCAGCTGGAAATCAATAACTCAACTCTTCAAACAAATATTCATTAGATTGTGGGACTAACATTAATTACGTCAATTGATGCCCTTTATTAATAGCATTAAGAATTGCTCTCCCTTGTAAGTGCAGCTACTCAAGAAACTGAGGCAGAAAAATATTGAAGCCAACTTGGACAGCCTTGCAAGACCCTTTCTCAAAATAAAGTGTTGTTGGGTGTGTTGGTACATGCCTGTAACCCCAGTATTTGAAAATTGAGGCAGGAGGATCACCAATTCAAAGCCAGTCAGGGTTACAGAGGAAGTTCAGGACCAGCCTAAATTTCATAATGAGACTTTGCCTCAAAAAAGGAAAAAAAATCCAGGTAGCCTCACCTTCCTATTAGCCTCTGCCTCTGAGGATAGTGTTTCTGCACCACAAGCACAGGTGCAAGGACTTTCTTTATCTTTTACTATCCTTCTGCATCAATCCATACTGTCCTCTCCTTTCTTCCATTCTTCTGCACATATCTCAGCAACTCTTTTACTCAACCTTTTTCTAAGTTTTATTTAACCTGGATGTATTTCAATGTACCCAGAGTACTTTCCAATGCCTGGTGGAGCACCTGGTTCATGCCAGGTCCTGGGAGAGCTACTGAGCTTTCTGTAGACTCAAACCCAGACAGGTCCTGAACAACTGCCAGAGCTGTTTTCAATTTACTTTTCACCTGCTCAGCTACATTGTTTCTAAATTGCTCCAGACGTCCTTCTTTATGGAAGTGTCCTAATCCCAACTGGTCTGGTGCATTTCGCTACTGTCATTTGTGCTTTTACTCTCTGAATAGGCAAGTGTAGCTCCCAACTGGCAAATGGATTGTGCCCTGAAAGTCAATCTATAATTCATTTTGCCATACCAGCAACACTGTGTTCCATAATTAATGCACATATAGAGGCATACGTGCATATATGTACACAAATTCTGTCATCCATAAATCAGTTGACCCACATATTTTAAGAAGCAAGATAGGTCATTTTTCTTTATGGAAAAAAATAACTCTAACGTGAGTGGGAAACTGGAGTGCAGAGAACTCTGTCTCTCTGAGAAGATTTAGCTTCAGGAAGAAAAAGTTCTTCCTGCCTTGGTGTGAAAAGGTTTGTTCCTCCTACATTCTTTGTAGTAGAAGAGGCTGTGCCTCTACTCCTCTTCCTGCCAGTCTTTGATAGCACAGTAGCTTTCCCAGGATGAGAATCTCATGACTGTTCTTTAACATGCACATCAGTTATTTATCTGGAGGTGACCTGTTTGGGCCTTATCTTCTGTACCTTTGTGATTTTCTGTACATCAGATCTTTCTAAATTGTAAATCTGATGCACTTTCCTCCTAGCTTTTACTTATCTTTAGGATCAACTCCAAATTCCTTGAAATGATGCAACTGGCTCCTCTGGATCTGAGCCCTGCTTACTCTATAGCCTTTTGTCTCATGCTGTGTTGATACTGTAGCCAGGAGAAACCAAGATTTCTGTCTCTTTTTTTGCAAGATACACTGTTCCCTCTGTCTTGCAAAATTTTCCACTGTATACCTAGCTCATTCTGATTTGTACTTGACTTTCTTCCACATGGTCACCATGTTGGAAATGAAAACCTCTGTCCACTCTCAGTGTGAATTAGATGCGCTCTTTCATCCTGTAACATGTGCGCATACATCTCCCACTGAGACTCATCACAGTACTGATAAATATTTTTGTCTCTATCGGAGGTTGACTAATGGAAATAAAAGATAGTACCTAGTATTTATACATTCCCAATGCCCAGTTTAATATCTAGCATATTTGGTACTCAAATATCTCCTGAATAGACAGAGCAAGGACCTGCAACATTAGCTAATCTGGACTATTTTCCAACAAGTGAATTAATATCTCAAGTGAAATTAGAACATCTGGGCAAAGGCTCTGACTGTCAAGTTAGAAGTGTGAAATTCTTGGGAAGAGGTCCTTAGGTTAGGTCATACCGGCTTCTGAAAGAGTTGGATACAGAAAGTGGTCATGTACAGAGTCCACTGGGAAATTTTCACTTCCTGGAGACATTTGGCCAAATCTGGAGACATGTTATGGCTTGTGTTTAAATGTTCCTCCCGTGTCATAGGTGGAGCTTTTTCAGAGATGGCTGAACCTGCACAGTGTGACTGACTCATGATGCAATGCTATGATTAAGGGTGCTAGGATTAAGTATGGGTGATTACTAAATCTGTCCACAGATTGGTTTGGCACCACCTTAATCCAGGTAGCCTAAGTAGAATATAAAAGGAGCAGAGAAAAGCTGCTAAGATCCCTTGCTTGCTTGTTTTGCTACCTTTTGCTTCTGCAATGCTTGTCTGCCATGCCACCTTGCCTTGGAGTTAGGTGATTATGGGCTGAAGCCTCTACAATCTATGAGTTAAATAGACCTTTTCCCTTTGGGGAGTCAAGTATTTTGTCTCAACAATGAAAGAAAAGTAACTAAGACCAGACATTTTGTCACAATGATGAAGAGGCAGTAATTCTGGTATTCAGTGGGTAAAAATCAGAAATGTGATAATCATACTGCAGTGCCCAGGAAGCCTCCCACAACAAAGAATTATATTGTCCAAATGACAGTAGTGTAAAGAGAGCTTCAGAAACCTTGTTGTGAACTATGAAGTTACTGAGCACTCTAAATTAATTTAAAGCTAATGTGATTTGGTATGATATAATTATTTTGACATGTGAAAACCCCTGAAATCTAGATTTGGATTCTATTTCCTGGCTGTAGACATTAGCTGTACCTCCTAAGGCAAGTCACTTCACCTTTCTATGCCTGTTCCACTGCCACAGTAAAATAAAGAGGGACCATTTAAGGCAGCATTCCAGGGCTCTAAATCAAGCTTACATGTCTGACTAAAACCACTAAAGATTTTAAAAGACAGGCTTTTTGTTGTTGTTTGTTTGCTTGTTTTTAGCATCAGGTAATCATCATTCTCTTCAGGAATGATAAGAGTTCAGGTGGGACTAGAAATACTCACATTGCTGTTTGCAATCTTACTTCCTAGGTAACAGTATCAATCTGTAATGGAAATTGTGAATGTTTTCTAACATTATCTATTTGATTTCAGGAACAACATGCTAAACTTAAAGTTACAAATTCAAGTGTGAATGTCAACTTCCCCCTCCCCTACACTACTGGGATTAAACCCCAAACCTTTGAATGAGCTACATATAATAACAGCCTTTCTTTTTTTCTTTCTTTCTTTCTTTCTTTCTTTCTTTCTTTTTCCTTTCTTTCTCTCTCTCTTCTTCTCCCTCTTCTCTTTTTCTCCCTTACCTTCTCTGTCTCCCTCTCCCTCCTCCTCACTCTCACCTTCTCCTCTCTCTTTTTAATTTTGAGACAGAGTCTGAGTCCGAAATTGCCCAGGCTGGGCTCAAACTGTGATCTCGTGCCTCAGTCTCCCAGAGCAGTGGGATGACAAGCATACACCACCACCCCCAGCTTCAACTTTTCTAGATCATTTCTAGATCATACATCATTTGTATATATCAGAGAAGCAGATGAAAGATTCAT